AAAAAAATACATTATTTAGTGGGTAACAAATAAAAGTGAATACATGTAGGGCTAAATCTGGTAGGCCTACACATTGCTCTTTGTATTGTTGTAAAATACATAAAATGAAAAACAAGTAATATATTTATATATAAATATATACTATAGTAGTCAACATTTGAAGTAGATCAAAACCTTTCATCAAAGTTGTCCTAAAACCAAAACAATACCCGTTCTTGTCTTAGGGCAGCTTTGATTAACGTTTTTGATCCACTTCAAATGTTGACTACTGTATAAATTAAAATACATTTCTTTTAAATGTATAACAGAGTAATGAGGCAGCAACATATGATAGAAAAGACAAACAAGAAAGGTTATTAATATTCTTTCATTGCACAAAAGTATTATGATACTAAAGGCTCCAAATACAGAGCGGCTCAAAGTGCTTATGCGCATCACGTGCGCAGAATGACGCGCTTGAAGCAACATGGAGTCACACCGCGCAGTGCTCCGCATAGAGAAGTTCAAAGCACAAAGTGAAGAGATATTGATGCGTAGTGTATTAAATAGTTTATTGAGCCTTTTCTTTTAACGGTTTTAAATTTCAGTTACTGTGCTCGTGACGAACAATTCATAGTGATCTCTACTCCAGTCTTGTGATCCAACCAGATATCCGGTAGAAATGTACATGATTTAGAAACAGCAAGAAACTCCAGCAAGATAAATTCCTTTTATGCAAAACCATTTATCTTTATTTACAGATCAAGTATAACATTAGGAACATTTAATCATCTTGGAGAGAGCTTCATCGTCTTGACTGTCGTAACCGAACGCGACACGCAATCTGAATGCTGAATGGAGGATGACAGACAGCTGCAGTGGAGAGAAGCGTTTACGTGAACTTGACTTTAATATTCATTTATCATTTGTACCTCACATTAAACTATAGTGCACAAAAACTTTATGGTGCTTTATAATGTTTTTGTGGCTTTCGTGGGGCTTAATAATAACACAGAATAGTATATGCACTATATCGGATTTGGATCGGTCTAGTCTGACTGATACCCTGAACTAGCAGAAAATGCCAGTATCGAAGCGATACCGATACTGAATATCGGATCGGCGCACCCCTATTAATTACTCACCTTCATGATGTTCCAAACCCGTAAGACGTTCGTTTATCTTCCGAACACATATTAAGATATTTAAATATTTTAAAAGCACTCAATTACTACTGAGGTAAGTCTTAAGGCCCATTCACATCAAAGACGATAACAATATAACAATAACGTTTTAATATTCATTCAACTATAACAACACAGAGCAACAATACCTTTGGAATAATTTTCAGAGCATTTTTTTTACCCAGCTGACGAACGACAAAAACAACAGCCTTTCAACATCCACTCGACTTAAAGAGCTCAAGATGACAGGGCATTCTTATAACAAATGGAATTGTATCATCTGGTAGAGCTAACAGTTGAGGAAAATCACCCTGTCAGTGAATCCCATATGGATTATATAGCCCATATGTACCTTCTTCCATGCATGTTCCTGAGTTTTCCTTTCTCGTGGTTCCTGCAGATGGTCTCTTTCTTTTTCTGTCCTTCCCCTTCCATATCTCTCTGGCCTCTGCCAGGTGCTTTTCTAGTTTGTTTGATCCTGATACCACTTGAGAGAAAATGGTGGAGTCTAAAAACCTTCTGTGCTCTGTGTTTGTGTGTCTAAATGGGAAACAAGAACATTTTCTTTACCTCTGCTTATGGTGGAAGAATGGACTTCAAACGCACAGCCCCCTACTTGTTGGCTAAGCAAAAGATGAGGGTCAGCTGACAACACAGAAACAGCTGTCCACAGTATGTGTGTGTGTGTGTGTGTGTGTGTGCGAGCACATTATGAGAGCATACAGTTTTTACAATTACAACTTTTTTATTGTATTTCTTCATATCTTAAAGTAAATTATATTCCTGTGATGCAAAGCTGAATTTTCAGCAGCCATTACCGCAGTCTTTAGTGTCACATGATCCTTCAGAAATCATTCTAATATTCTGATTTGCTGCTCAAGAAACATTTCTTTTTATTATCAATGTTGAAATATTTTTGTGGAAACTGATACATTTCTTTCAGGATTAATCAATAGAAAGTTCAAAAGAACAGCATTTATTTAAAGTCATCTTTGCCAACATTATAGAAGTTATACTGTCACTTATGATCAATGTGTTCATGTTTTGAGACAAAACCATAGAGCATGGTGTAATGTCATGCATTTGATTTGAAGGAAAGTACATTTCAAATGTGTAAAATATAAATATTTCTCTTTGCACACAAATTACTTGTGTGATTACTATATTCATGTATAATATGGTACTGAAATTATACTTTAAGGTACTGCAAATAATATCAGATGCGTTATTTATTTTTTGAGCAGACACATTGTTTGCTTATCGAGAGACCTTGTAATTGTACCTTTTAAGAAGAGAAAATTAATTTTTATGGTAGAAGACTGTTAATTAAAGGTACATTTTATGGAATCCTTACACAGACTCTGGCATTGTAAATTTAGCAGTATCAGCAGAAGTATTTTAGAGTTAGATTTTTTAAATTCATGTATTTATACAACTTTACTTTGTTGTTATTAACATGGAAGTTAAAAAGACAAAACTAGTCGACAACACTACTGCCATGGTGGTTCTACTGCTTCTAAGGGAGTGACTGCAAATTGGACATCTTTCTCACTTCTGACTGCTGAGATTACTCTCTCCCCTTTTTCCTCCTTTGGAAAATAGTGGAAACACAATATTGATTTTGTTTTTTTCAAATATGAATTTAAAAATCAAGACTTGCTGTGCTATATTTATATTGTATATATTGAGAGCTATGTGTATTCTTTGGGATAATATTTATCTTTTTATTTATCTACATCTCTTGTCTGTTTTTTTTATTATTCAAAAGAAACCCCTCCATCTGCTTATATACCCCCAGAGGAGCCAATGACACAGGACTGTCCCCAGCCAATGGACACTAACCTGCTAGCTCAGAACTTGCCATTGGAGCTCAGCAACCAACCAGGTACACTCCATTTGAATTATAAAACCTCACTAAAATGAGACACCACACTAAGCTTCAGCCACTCCAGCAAAGATATTGCCCGTTCCTTAATGCTATCAGCAGCTGCCTGCCCACACTGCAGGTGCAGGAAGTCCAAACACAAACATACTCTCACACACACACAGGTGCAGACAATCTGACTTTTTGTTCTTTAAATATGGTTAATCTTGCAGCAAAGTATGTCACGTGATTATGAACAAAATTGCATACATTAAGTTACGGTTATACAATATCTGAAAATAATGTTGTTCTTTGAATAACGGTAAACAGTAACTTTAATAATTTATTAATTTTCTCTATTTTATTCCACATCCTGCTAAGTGTTATCAAACAATGTTCAAATTGAAGGTTAAGAAAACTAATTAAGTGGACGTACATATGCAGGCTGTGCTCTACATGTGCAGAAAAGATTTTAAATGTAAATGTTACAAAATTCTGCAAAGTTTTGAAGTAAAAGGACAGTTTAAAACAAACAACAACAAATATATATATATTTTTAAAGAATTAATTGGTAAATTCCTCGGTAAAATAAGTATTTGGTCACCTACAAACAAGCAAGATTTCTGGCTCTCACAGACCTGTAACTTCTTCTTTAAGAGGCTCCTCTGTCCTCCACTCGTTACCTGTATTAATGGCATCTGTTTGAACTTGTTATCAGTATAAAAGACACCTGTCCACAACCTCAAACAGCCACACTCCAAACTCCACCATGGCCAAGACCAAAGAGCTGTCAAAGGACACCAGAAACAAAACTGTAGACCTGCACCAGGCTGGGAAGACTAGGTAAGCAGCTTGGTGTGAAGAAATCAACGGTGGGAGCAATTATTAGAAAATGGAAGGTATATACTGTGTGTATATATATATATATAATTAACATGTAAATGTAAGATTTTGTAAGTTTTTACATTTATATTCAATTATATTTGTTTCGATAACTTTACAGTTACTGCTTTCATAATGAAATGTTTTTGAATGTCCAGCAACAATATTTAGTCATAATTATTGTGCTTCAGTTCTCTGTTGTGTTCTGTCTGTTTGGAACCTGTATGTGTGCTTCCACTCATACAGTGAAGTTTAACGGAGTTTTGCTTGCTGTCAGAACAATATAACCATAAAATGTAAAGTATGTGCTGGGAAAACATGTCTGAAATGCATTAAGCAGCAAAGACATCTGTCATTACAAGCCAGTAAACTATATGAGCACATACATTTGCTTAAAGAATATATAATATAAAGCATTCTCATGTTTAGGACAACTAGGGATGTGCACCCTCTGCTAATTTTTTTGTGTGTTTTGTTCATAGACTGATATTGAATATTTGTTATTTAATTTCATTATCCAAACAAATGTGTTGTTTTGTTTATTTCTATTATTCCATTTGTTATTTAAGCACTGTTGGGCTGTGAGTTAGTATTGACTATGGCTAATTGTTTACAGTTAGTCAGCAATAGCTAAAATGAACACTGCATACATTACTTTCCTGAATGCTATAAACACCTTTAATATGGGTTAATTACAGGGTTTACGTTCCCATCTTATGCAAAAAATAGTCTTAACACAATGTTTAACACACACATTCGTGTTTATGGCATGAAAATAGCCCTGCACTTCAGAAACAATGATTCCAATCATTTCCTTATGCAGCACATTCAATATACAGTTTGTATGTAGTGACGCACAGGAGGTGAGGGGGGTGTGCGGAGAGAAGGCGAGCTGTTGAAATATTTGTGGAAGTTGTGGTACCATCAGAATTTTGGGATGCACACTCAAGCTGCATCCTGTGGAGTGCTCACTTCTATTGTGATAGGCGAATGGGAAAAGAGTAGACAAAACACACCTGTGGCCCAGTGTCACAGACCAGAGGAAGCTGGGTAGAAATATGCCATAGATAAACACGTTACCCTCTCTTTGGGATTTGCACAGTTGGCACAGCTGAGCTGTGGATATCAGAAAGAGGACATTTCGATGACTGGTGTTTTATGGGACCCACAAGTTTGCTTGCACTGTGGTGGGATTTGATACGGACAGCTATCCCACTTGTATTATGCTGATTTGGTTGTATTTTGTTGGCCCTTGAATAGTGCAGGGTTATAACCAATCACTGCAGCCTGTTACTAAAGTGTTACCATTAATAGCCTAGCAACAGTGACCTCATATAAAATACCCTAGTAAAATTGATATGCCCTCTGCTGTAAGAGATGAGATGCAAGTCTAAATCTGTAAATCATATCGCTTAATAACATTCAAAGACACAATCCAACAGTAAAGGTGAATTAATATATTCCAAACTAGCAAAATAACATGATTTGGAGGTTGTGCCAATACAGTACAAAAAACATATAATAAAAATATAAAGCATGCTAGCCTGTGAAATTACCAACTTGTCTTAAAAGGCAAAAATATAAATATTAATATTAAAAATACACACTGCTGTTCAACAGTTTGGGGTCAGTAATTTTTTTTATTTTTTATAATAATAATAGTAATAATAATAATAATTTATTCAGCAAGCATGCATTAAATTGTTTAAACTTGATAGTTAAGATTTATGTTACAAAATATTACTATTTCAAATAAAAAATAAATGCTGCAAAAAACATGTTTTTCCACAATAATATTAAGCAGCACAACTGATTTCAACATTGATAATCAGTGTTGGGGAAAGTTACTTTTAAAAGTAATGATTACCATATTGCGTTACTTCCTAAAAAAGTAACTAATTACGTTACTTAGTTACTTTTTGTGGAAAGTAATGCGTTACGTTACTTTTGCGTTTGTTTCGCGTTACTTTTTAAATATGAGCAGGGCTTGATTGTTTTTAATATAACAAGTTCTATTTATAGCAAATGTAAAAGCCCTTTCACACCAAAAAGTATAATGAATAAACCTCAGGCTGAAGGAAAAGTAAATTCACGCCTGTACAGTAGAACACAGGAGAAGAAGGTTCAACGCTCTTCAGCAATAAAAAAACAATGAAGCACAGTTGTTAGTTTATCTAAAGTCATTTTTGCTTATTAGTATGGTTGAACTGGATCCTCAAAGGTCAGCAGCAAAGACATTAGTTAATAAAATGGGATTAGATACATTTGCGTTAACATATTTAATTATTGCAGGTTTGCATCATATTCTGAGTTTGCATTTCACTGTTTTAATTCATTTTGATGAATACTAAATCTGTTTTTTTTTGCGTGTGGGATGAATTAATGCACATTCACATTTAGTCTAGAACTACATCATGTTCACACAGCACACACAAAGCCTCGATTTCTCCCAATATGGGGACAGGAGACTTGTCGGTCAATAAATGGGAAAACAAAGTAACTGGCGTTACTTTTTTGAAAAAGTACCTCAGATTTTCTTGTAAATTAAAAAGTAATGCGTTACTTTACTAGTTACTTGAAAAAAGTAATGTGATTCGCGTTACTTGTAATGCGTTACCCCCAACACTGTTGATAATACTAAGAAAAAATTTTTTGAGCAGTAAATCAGCATATTAGAATGATTTCTGAAGGACCATGTGACACTGAATACTGGAGTAATGATGCTGAAAATTCAGCTTTGCATCACAGGAATAAATTGCATTTTAAAATGTTGATCAAATAAATGCAGCCTTGGTGATCTTAAGATCTTAAGAGATTTTAATTTTCACACCATACTACTTTATTTTAATAGAGTAAGTGTATGTGTGCTTGTGTTCAATGAGTTAATGAGTTCCTGTGCAGATGTTCAGCCTGTGGCATATGCGGAACCCAAACACTGGTGCTCCATTGTGTACTATGAGCTGAATAATCGTGTGGGAGAGGCTTTCCAGGCCTCCTCAACCAGTGTACTGGTGGACGGCTTTACCGACCCCTCCAACAACCGTAACCGTTTCTGCCTCGGTCTGCTGTCGAATGTCAATCGCAACTCGACCATTGAGAACACTCGACGCCACATCGGAAAAGGTTTGACTGAAATGATCACTATATAAAACAGTATCTGCCTATTGTGTGTTGAATTGCACAATTATATAGCACTAAAATATGACAATGAATTGATATGATAGTAACATGATACCGAAGTGCTGTTAATAAGCTAAATATTCATAATGTAAACTCATAATCACCTTTTCATCTATTTTGCAGGAGTACATTTGTACTATGTGGGAGGAGAGGTATACGCGGAATGTTTGAGCGACAGCAGTATCTTTGTTCAAAGCCGCAACTGCAACTATCACCATGGTTTCCGTAAAAGCCCTTTCACACCAAAAAGTATAATGAATAAACCTCAGGCTGAAGGAAAAGTAAATTCACGCCTGTACAGTAGAACACAGGAGAAGAAGGTTCAACGCTCTTCAGCAATAAAAAAACAATGAAGCACATTTGTTAGTTTATCTAAAGTCATTTTTGCTTATTAGTATGGTTGAACTGGATCATCAAAGGTCAGCAGCAAAGATATAATGGGATTAGATACATTTGCGTTAACATATTTAATTATTGCAGGTTTGCATCATATTCTGAGTTTGCATTTCACTGTTTTAATTCATTTTGATGAATACTAAATCTGTTTTTTTTTTGCGTGTGGGATGAATTAATGCACATTCACATTTAGTCTAGAACTACATCATGTTCACACAGCACACACAAAGCCTCGATTTCTCCCAATATGGGGACAGGAGACTTGTCGGTCAATAAATGGGAAAACAAAGTAACTGGCGTTACTTTTTTGAAAAAGTACCTCAGATTTTCTTGTAAATTAAAAAGTAATGCGTTACTTTACTAGTTACTTGAAAAAAGTAATGTGATTCGCATTACTTGTAATGCGTTACCCCCAACACTGTTGATAATACTAAGAAAAAATTTTTTGAGCAGTAAATCAGCATATTAGAATGATTTCTGAAGGACCATGTGACACTGAATACTGGAGTAATGATGCTGAAAATTCAGCTTTGCATCACAGGAATAAATTGCATTTTAAAATGTTGATCAAATAAATGCAGCCTTGGTGATCTTAAGAGTTACTTGTATTTTAATTTTCACACCATACTACTTTATTTTAATAGAGTAAGTGTATGTGTGCTTGTGTTCAATGAGTTCATAACCATCTGTGCAGATGTTCAGCCTGTGGCATATGCGGAACCCAAACACTGGTGCTCCATTGTGTACTATGAGCTGAATAATCGTGTGGGAGAGGCTTTCCAGGCCTCCTCAACCAGTGTACTGGTGGACGGCTTTACCGACCCCTCCAACAACCGTAACCGTTTCTGCCTTGGTCTGCTGTCGAATGTCAACCGCAACTCGACCATTGAGAACACTCGACGCCACATCGGAAAAGGTTTGACTTGTCAATGAAATGATCTCTACATAAAACAACTATTCTACAGTATCTACCTATTGTGTGTTGAATTGCACTATTATAAAGCACTAAAATATGACATTGAGTTGATATGATAGTAACATGATACTGATGAAATGGCCTGTCTCAGAAATGCTGTTAATAAGCTAAATATTGATATAATATAAACTCACAATCACCTTTTCATATATTTTGCAGGAGTCCATTTGTACTATGTGGGAGGGGAGGTATACGCTGAATGTTTGAGCGACAGCAGTATCTTTGTCCAGAGTCGCAACTGCAACTATCACCATGGTTTCCACCCCACCACTGTATGCAAGATTCCCAGTCTCTGCGGCCTAAAGATCTTCAACAACCAGGAGTTTGCTGAGCTCTTGGCACAGTCCGTCAGTCACGGTTTTGAAGCCGTCTATGAACTCACCAAGATGTGCACCATCCGCATGAGCTTTGTAAAGGTAAGTTAGACTATATCAATTAATAATTCAAGGGATCGTTCATCCTAAAATTTAAAGTCCCCATGAAATCAAAATTGAAATGTTTTGGCTTTTAGTATGAATATGTTAGCCTTATAGTTATCTATAAGCTAGTGTGCTCCAAAACAATGGCAAAATTCATATTTAGAAGATATAAGCAGTCTCTCACTTCCGCCAATATGAATCAGCGGTCACCCTGCACTTCATCTTCTCATCAAACTTTCTGTCCTATCAAATGCTCTCTAGAATCTGAAATGTCCCGCCTCCTACAGTATAAATAGATGCTGAAACTGCGGCTGAAATAGGTCACTTGTTCACAGAATTAGTATTTTCTGTATGCTGAATGGCAGGTAGTGCACTATATGGGTACAGCGTAATATGCTTTCCATTTGGTCGAAAGAAGTCTGGTTTCGCGTTGTGTCACGCACACAGTCTGCTCCGGTCCGGATAGCACAATATCACATAGCAGTTCATATGTGCGAGTCGCACAGACCACAAAATGTATCGGACCCATTTGAATTCTACAAAGAATGCTATATTTTATAGCGATTTTGATCAGATTAGGAGGAGAAACGGTTAGACAAACGGCACTAACGAGTAGAAGAGATAACACCGGTGCCCTACACCAACATAAATTATACAGTTTTCAAACTACACATCGTCAGCATCATTATAATCGCTGTTTTGCTTTAGTAACAGTTTAATATTGAATATAAAAGGCTAATCTATTAGACTGTGGCTGTCATAAGCTGTCAAATGCGGCTTTTACCAAGCTCAAAGGCTCTGGCCCAAGCTGTGATATACACGAAACACTATTGGCTATTTAAAAAGGGGGTGGGGCTGCTCAGGCTCAGTTAACCTTTAAAGGGAACATCGGATGTAAAATTCACTTTAACATGGCAGAAGTTCATTAAATGCGTGTTAGCAGTGCGTGAACTGCTAACACACATTAAAATAAAGGGGTCATATGACGTTGCTAAAAAAGAACATTATTTGGTGTAATGAAATGTGTTCATGAGGTTTAAGGTTTAAAAAACACATTATTTTCCACATACTGTACATTATTGTTTCTCCTCTATGCCCCGCCTTTCTGAAACGCATCGATTTTTACAAAGCTCATCGTTCTGAAAAGCGAGGTGTACGCTGATTGGCCAGCTATCCAGTGCGTTGTGATTGGCCGAATACCTCAAGCGTGTGATGGAAATGTTACGCCCCTTACCATATTGTGATGCCCTGTCCGGCCGGAGCGACAAGACAAAAACATTAAAACCCATTATAAACGAGGCATTTGTTGCATCAAGTGGGGACATAATTACTGATTATAATGACTTATACTGTTTTTTTACACGTTGCATTGCATCGCGCCGCATAAACATAAAACCATGTCTGCATTTGTGATCGGAGAAACGACAAACAACAAGTGCTACTCTACACTGCTCAAAACTCACGTTTAAATCGTCAGTGGCAAACTCTTTAAATATGAAAACGTACTTACAGTCTGTGAGTCAGCATTATTTGTCAGAACACCGGCATTGTAGGCTACTCTCCCAGGAAACAGTCCTCGTCCTTCGTAAAATGCGTTGCACACATCTGAATATTTGGTTTGAACTTTTCTTGAACAGCGATGTAAATACAACTTAACCACTGATTTCTAGTTGTGTCCTCTTTTGGAAGGACAAACAAAGTAGTTTTGCTTTCACAACGAAACACACAGCGTCTCCATGACATGGCGGCATCAGCAACAATTCTACAGTGAAAATCAAAGTTACATCTTTCTTTGTGTGAACATTTGGGGGGCGTTATGCAAATCTTCCCAAACAGTGACGTAGACATGTGGGGGCGTGTTTAAACGAGGCGTTTTAGGAGGGCGTGGACGAGTCTTAACTTTCATAAAGAATATCTCTTTGGGTTTGGGACTTTAGGGATTTTATCTATTCACGAACAGCTTGTAACACTCCAAAGAGAAAGGAAAACTTGAAATCGCATCATATGACCCCTTTAAATTAAATGTGCTAATTAAATTAAATGTGTTAATTAAATGTGTTAATTAAATTAAAACATTAAATGTGTGATCTGCAGCAGCATGACTGGTCTTCAACGAGCCCAAAAGAGCCCATGTTACACCTCTCTTTATCTCCTTGCACTGGCTACCGGTTGCGGCTCGCATCAAGTTCAAGACATTGATGCTTGCATATAGAACAGCCACAGGCTCAGTACCCGCCTACTTCCACTCATTACTATGAATCTACATCCCCTCCAGAAGTCTGAGGTCCGCTAGTGAGCGACGCCTCGTGGTACCATCACAGAGAGGCTCAAAATCACTTTCCAGAACATTCTCGTTCACCATTCCTGGCTGGTGGAATGATCTTCCCACCCCTATCCGGAATGATGAATTCCTGACAATTTTCAAGCGACAGCTGAAAACTCATCTCTTTC